CGGTTGACCCCATCCGCGAACAACCAAAGAAATGCGCTTTCATACGACTGGCTTTTAAGGATGATCATCTAACAAAGGACGGCATCGTGTCAAATATTTTAGGCTGCAAAGCTTAAAGTTTCTCTCATTTTTACCTCCTATTGAATAGGCAACGATACAATTTTCAGGAACGGGGAAGCGGCCAATCAAAGGGCTGCCATGCCACACACAATGGAGGAAGTTAGGCGGTAGTGGTGAGATTCGAACCTACGTCCTCCGGGGTGATAATTCGGTGTCGTTACCCCCGGGCCACTACCACCCAAGGACTCAGGGACTTAGCCTAGAAAATCAAAAACAGAGCCAGTGGTTCACTTGTGCTTCGCATGTCGTCTATCAGTTCACTTGCGATTGCGATGACGCTCGCATTGGCAGAATGAACCAGATAGCTAAACACATTCCAAAATGGTTATTGCAGTCAATGATACAGCACAATTGCTGTGGTCAATCTAATAAGAGAAATTCAACATCATCAACTGCAAAGCCTGTCATGACAAGGGGAGACGATGATCCACTTTTATCGTTCACTTCTTTGTTAAGTAACATGAATCCCATGTAATTAGCTCTCAGTACAGCGTTGGTAATTAAGTTACGAAGTCCAATTTTGCGTGCACAAAGGTTTATAGCGTAAACAGTCAAATTACCGTGAAAGTGAATACGGAACTTATTTTCACCCTCCCTTTGTAGCTATCAAAACTTTCTTGCACATATACTAGATTGTTTTACCTTGCAGGCACTGAGATGATTCAAAGAAATGTTAACATCTCGCAGTATTCTTCTCTTCTCTGTTCCAGCATATATATATGGTGCTGTAATAGGGTGATTCTCAGCAATCTCGAATATAGGCCAATAGGTCTTTGAGGCATCAAGATAACGGTATACAGTAATCCGAAAAATTCCGTATACTACTTTCGCAGAGCGATTAAAAATAGTGTAACTCAGATGGCGTAGGCAAATTCCATGCGTAGGCTCGTGATCCTTCCGCAAATTAAATGCGAGCTACTATCACTGGGATATTATCTCACGGAAACAGCATAACTTCAACAAGACCTTTTAGAAGGAGGGGCATGAACCCGGATGAAATATTTCATTGAACTAACTAGCTGCAATAGGATCATCATCATCACCATCATCTCGAATGGGTTCGGTAAATCAGTTGTATTCATCAGAGTCCCTTAAGTGTATTGCACCACAAAAGACTTCATTTGTGCATTTCCTGACTATGATTTGTCATACCCTCCTATCTCTCTATCCATGCGTGTCAACCACGGAGCTTGGATTTCAACCGTGGTCTGTGTGCGAGTTGGATGCTTTTGGTTTTTACGGGAAAATATTTGACTCGGAAGAGTATCGAACGTATTCCCCGGGGAGCTCCAGACCGGCTTTGCGGTTTCTGCCGCTCTTCATGCACGTGATTACCACAATGCTTCTGTGTAGCTATCGAAACGAAAATTCCTCGCGTTTGTTTCTGTTTCCGCATTCTCGTTTTAGTGTGTTTCAACTTTATTTCAAAGGAAACCAGAATGTATATTCGACTCCAGCTAATTACGATAGTTTTTAATTTTTCGTGTTGATTATTCACCAGTCTAGGGTGAGGGAGTGAATTGTCCCTTATTTTTAGTTTAAGTGGTTTCTTATACTACGATTAATTCCTGATTGGTGTACATACGCACACACACACACACACACACACACACACACAAACACTCTATACCCGACAGACGGTCGAAAAGGTGCTTCTGGCCTACACGGATCGTGTTCTCGCTGATTTCCCTACATATCAAACAGACGGGAGAGTCGCATGTATACTGGTGACCAACACGCAGCAACTTCGTGTTCAACTTGAAAAGGTTTACGAAACCATGGCGCGTGAAAGGTGAGTTTTCCAGACGGACTGATGTTGAAATATCCATCGGGATAGTTCCATAACCAATGTCCGGTTTGCCGAGAAAACATTTGAAACGTTATGCATGTACAGTTTTCTGTTCTTTCATTTAAATCTCCAAGGTGATCTAGTCTGTCTTTGGGTATGTATCCACTGTCCCCTTTTAGAACTGAATTCGTTTGGCTCAGTTCTTGCCGAGCACAATTTCAAACCACGGGACAGTCAACGATTCTGATGTAGTAGATATGCGCATTCTAAGTCAGTTGAATGACAGATTTATGATGACCATTTTTCTTTGTCTCTTCTCTGCGGGACATGTTTGATCAAAAACAACGAGACATCGCATGCTTCATGTGATGATTCCTATGCAGTGGTACTGACGTTCGAAAACCTCAGATTTGAGCGTGCGCGCTTTTTGACTGATTGTCTTTTTGAGCAAAGAGGAACAACATTCCGATGTAATCAGTCGGACGTAGCTTGTATATCACAAGACGGAATTGTGCTGTGTTCTGTGCATTACACGGAACAGAACGGAGCTGTACTGGTCGACGAGCGAGTGACTTTTCACACTCAGCAACCAGTGTTGTGCATTCTAAGTATTCGTTTTCAATGTAAGCGAAGCGTCGACCTCCACTGTAACCAACCGTTCTCACACACATGCGGAAGTTCAGGTGTGATACGCGAGAACTCGCTCACTCACTGTCCACACATCTACCTGGTTTGTCTGCTCGCTGTATCCGAATCCGAATGCTACTCTCCGCTTTCGCACCCACTCTCCACCCGCTCCCCGTTCCTTTCGGTGTCAAACAAGTGGTTGACCGAACGATAACGGGCATAGTTGTCTTCTTGTACGACAGTTTATGGCCTGTTGGTTTTCGGAATAGAAACTACGACTGAACGGACTATGAGCTGTTATTTTTTGTGATCGTTCTTTATTTTCCTCGGCTTGTAACTTGTAATCCATGTTGTCTTGAGTGCACACACACATGCACGCACGCACCACAATTAGATAATCGGTTTTCAAATGCCCATGTGTATTTCTGGATTAAATAACCAAGGCGAAACCCTTGTTATTTGTTCAGCGGCTGTTAGTGTCACATGCCATGCGATTGCGTTTGATGGACCGGCTTGATTAACCAGAAGAGGGAGGGGGTGGGGAGGGGAGATTGAGGACAATGTATTGCACCACTTGGTGCGTAGTCAGCAGTAACCGGCTCATCCAGATGTACTTGTTATCCATCCCCTCGGTCGAAATGCCCTGAGGGGTATGATTCTGGACGAGGTCAACTTATGACGATAAGATGACTGCCATGCACAGTGTTTCTTCTACGACTCACACTTCCACTTTTTTCCCCATTCAGTTAACAACTGTGGAATTTATTGTGCCAACCTGCTAGCATATGAAAACGAAAGTTCACATTATTCTTCAATCACAGTCGATTATTTCATCCTTATGCCGTGTTCGAACGCCTTCCAGATTTGTTGTGTTATAAAACAATCTGCGGGACTTACACATAAGACGTTTTTTTACTTCTCACGCTGTGCCGTTCGATCTAAACGTCAGTCAGAACTACCTCACTGTTTGTTTAAACACAAAAGTGCTCAAAAGATATTGGCACAGACAGAAACTTAACTAAATGTCTGTGTTCAACAGACCAAATTTTAACCAACCCGTGATTCCATTGACCACATATTAACTTTGCGACATGTGTTCCATTTACGCAACACGCACACATTGTTGACCAACTATCACGGTAATTTGCATCTAGATGATACGCTTGACTCAGTTGATGATGAAACTCCATTTCACTATCCTCTGGCCAGCCGAACACTCTAAAAGTGATAACCTAGAGAAGTCACTGTACTCGTGATCCAGTAAATGTCTCGGACCAACAAGGCAGATCACTAGAAGCTTGCCGTGATCTTATTTAGTTACCTATTTTATCATTGCTGTTCACCTTAGACGAAATATTGGAGAACGCCCTTAGTGTTGTCCAAAATATTGATATTGAATAGAACGAGCAGCTAGCGAAAGGGTGTATGACATGAGTACGCTGAAAACATTCTCTCCCTGTCTAACTGGACGGAGAGTGTTCAAAACGCATTCGGCAGACTCAAACATCCCGTTGGTTCATTCGGTTTGTGCTGTGCTTATTGTAATTGCAACTGAATACGGCAAAACTGAATTGCACTCACTGCCGTCCAGATACTCAGGAATGGGCTACGGTGGATAGCTTCTCCTAATTTGACTCGTTTGTGACAAATAATGGTACCACGGGATGAGTGGTTTACGCACAGATGTTCAAGACTGGACTGAAGCATCTTTGACGTCGACACTTTGTTGAAGTCGTATGGTCTGATAGTCGATCACGTGGTACCGATTATTCATATTCCACTGGAAATACGTAGGTGGTTAACATGCGATCATAATTATGGCCCACACTGGTCCAATATTGTGTATTGTGTATAGCTTTCGCAAGCACTGGAGCTCACATTTCAGTTAGAAAAACCATTTACGCCAACCGTCACAAAGTGCATAATCAACGGGGAGAAAATGTTTAAAGACATGGAACATTTCATAATTCAAGATTAGGACAAAGTTCACTGATTGCCCTCTCTTTGTCCGTGAGTAAACGATCAAAATACGATATCGATCAATTTCAATAAGCGTTGATTCGGAATTGGGGGCGTGTGGAATGATGGGCACGACAACGCGTTAGTTCTGTGTGTAATTGGTGGTCAGGATCTGTGAGAATTCTCTTCCCAAATCTCACACATGAAGTTATGTGAAAGCTTTACAGCTAATTCGTTCACAGGAATAGTTATACTTGGTTCGTTTTCCATAGAAATCAGTAACCTAGCCTAAGCTTATCAGCATCAGTGCAACTGAAACGTGTCTGACAATCGGTACAAACATGTGGCGCGCAAACACGATTATCTTATCCGTATTTTTGGAATCATATGCAGTATCTTCGATGATAGCATAACGTTCGGATACGGTTCGTAGATCTTTGGGCTAAGTTTTGTATAATGTATGTGCTTCAAAAGACCGTTTTTGAACTTGACAATACCAATTTGTTTCAGACCATGGTCTTCTCTTCGTTTTTATTGTGCACCCTACCGCATCAGTCTTTCGTGCAATGTTTTTTTCAGTGCTTTAATCGTAGTCAAGCGAAGCCGAGAGCATGTTCTCTCAGAGGGAGGCATTTGAGGTTTTTTTTCACAATATTTTAGTTAATAATTTAACTTAAACGCGCTTCACTTATTTCTGATTTCCACTTTCCCCGGTAACCATGGATTCTTGCAACTTACAGATACGTCTTTGTCCTTACTTTTCCCCGACTTTTTCACACCACAATTCCAACTGTGTATCCACAACAAGCACCGATGACCGCTGCTAACCGTCCATTGTCCCCGCAACAAACAGTGACCATTCAAACGTATTGATCAAAGTGATTGCAAACTAATAACAGCTTATATTTGACTCCTTTTTGGATTACAGTACGGCTAAGCAGGAACAAATTACAATAGTGGAGTGCTCGGTCTTACGCTGTCAGGAACAAGACTAGCAACGGCGAGCACAATGTAAAAAATGACTAAATTTCGATGATACATCAATTGTTTGGGGATGAAATAGTTTGCGTCTCTCAAACTTGAAGAGCTTTCGTCCGATTAAGGTTTCCGTCTGTGCCCTCCTTAGTTATCTTGAACTTGAACCTCCAAAAAACTACATTCACTGCCCCGCAGTAGACGTCAATTTTTCTGGTGGTTTTAACTTGCCTTTGTCACGTTAAAATCTGATTTCATCTCCCTCGTTCGGTGTATTGTTTTCTTTTCATTCGAACGTAGCCTGGAAGAGAGAACCAATGATCGGCTGACCGCGCTTCAGGGCCGTCTAAACGAGGCCGTCGACAAACTGGTTATGCAACTCACGGCCCAATTTGAGAACGGGGTACGAACTCACGTGCGCGAATGTGGTCGTCTGCTTCAAAAGGTGAGTTCAGTTGTCTGGGTTTCCTTTTTGGGGGTCGGGGGGTGGAGTTGCAGGTGTTAAATTACGTTCACATTTCGGAATCCGTATGCAATTTCCAAATGATCAAAGCTGGAACCATGGTATTGACAACGAATTTAGTTAAAATCCAAGTGGCATTTATTAGTGATATTGTAACGAGAAGGCGAGCTGGCTGGGAAAACGTCTATTGATCCAATTCAAA